AGAAGCTTCTCCAGATTGCAAATTAAGAGGGGGTGTTGAAATGTAATTTTCAACAATAATTATCATAACCAAAATGTCCCACTACAATCACTTCAAGAGGAAAACCCATTTGCACAAGATAGACATCTCAACCTACTGCCAACAAAGAAGTAAATTGATTGTTATGAGAAAAAAATAATTCAGCAAGTGGATGTGATGAAAAGAAAGCAAGCCAACCAAATTAATGGGTGAATAATTATGTAGTCCCATGCATATATAGTTGGCAAGAAACATGAAGTAATTACATGTGTCATCTAGTTCCCATCTGCATTCACGTCCACATGCATGGAAGAGAAAAGAGTCTTGGCATTATTAGTTTCTTTCATTTACATTATCTATATATGTATGTATAAGTGTGTATGGCAATGGCAGAGAGAGTAGGCAAGAGACATAAAAATAGAAAACATAGAAGTCTCTGCCGTGAGTGTGTAAGACAAGAGCCAAATGAATAAGGCCTTGTTTGTTTGAGTGTATTTTAAATTGAGTGATTAAACACCATTTGTTTCCTTTGTGTTGATCCTAAATCATACCACATTTCCGCTAATCTCCAACAGTTTCTCGGTTGTGGAGTTGGAGTAGAGTAGCAACGTTAACTGGAACGCCGGGCTTGGGATAGCGCCGAGCACCCCTTTTGCGGCGGAGGCTACGAGCACGGCTGCGAGGACCAGCGGCTGCACCTCTGCTTTTGATAATTATTATAATTATTATTTTTTATGGTAAAAATGAATTTTTTTTGACGAAGCGATCCCTTGCATTAAACAAGAATACGAAGTTACATATGACCTAGCTCATGTCGAAGCCAAGCACAAATATCGAAATCATTACAACCCGTAGGAAACAAAGACAGGGCCTTCTTAGCCACCAAATGGGCTACCCTATTGTTCTGCCTACCTACAAACCTAATCTGAAACCCAGGAAGCGCGGACAAAAGATGGCGAATTTCCTCAAATATTGCCCCGCCAGCAGCATTAGAGATGCTCCCTGCATTGACCTTGTCAATGACAACCTTCGCATCCCCTTCAATCCACATAGCCTCAAACCCAAGGTGGCGACACCACCGGATAGCATCCCGTAATGTGGATAACTCTGCTAACATGGGGTTCATAAGGCCATTATACATCACACCCTTTGTTTCCAGCACCATAACCGCTGCATCGCGCAAAACAATTTCACCTGCTGCATGGGACCCCTCATGGACTGCTCCATCAAAGGAACAGATAATTCCTCCCAACGAATCCCCCTGGGCAACAGGCAAGACCATACTTGGCGCCATAGCAGGAACAGCACCCTCCCTCCTCACATCCTGCGGAACCTGCAACCACTCATTTACCTAAAACAGGAACTCCTGCCTTAGGATAGATGGAAGGGTATGTATCCCCTCAAAAGCCACCGAGTTTCGACCCTTCCAGATTCTCCATAACAGGCACACCAACCAAACAACACGAGAAAGTGAAGCATCGCATTCCAGAAATCGTCTGAAAAAATCTCAAAACAGCCAGTAGGGAGAATCTCCAACTCTGTAGCCAGATCCGCAGCCTCCCAAAGTCCCCGCGCTACGGGGCACTCCAAGAAAAGATGTTGAGTAGTCTCCTCAATCGCCCAACAAACCGGGCACCGAGCAAGAAATAGAGCCTTCTTTTCCAGCAAAGCCTCCATAGTTGGCAAGATTCGATGCAACAACTCCCAGACAAAAAACTTAAGCTTAGGTTGGACAGGTAACCCCCGCGCTACGGGGCACTCCAAGAAAAGATGCTACACCCCGATTTCCCCGCCCCTAGTGTCCAGGACTTTCGTTCCGCCAACCGATACCCGGATTTTATCGTATACACCCTAGAAGGGTCCAAACAAGTTGGTCCAGCATGGTCTCCCAAGGAAGCGGGATCTGTAAGATTGCACGAATCGTCTCTGGCGTGAACACAGTCTCCAAATAGTGAGAACACCACTCCCCTGTATCTGGATCAATCAGCCCTGACACCATCTCATGTCCCTCCACTGAAGCACCCTCTCGCAGTCCTAGGGGAGACGAATGAATTTGCGGAATCCACCCCTCCGAAATCATTGGTATTTGATCCCCAGAACCAACCTGCCAAGCCATGCCCTGCCAAAGCAACTGATAGCCAAAGAGCACCCCTTGCCATCCCCATGACGGACGAGACCTCTTGGTGGCCGAGAAAATGGTCCCCTGTGGAAAATATTTAGCTCTATAGATCTGTGGCAGCAAAGAGTCCGGCTCCATATGAATATGCCAGGCCACTTTTGCCAAAAGAGCTTGGTTAAACAATTCAAACCCCCGGAAGCCCAACCCTCCCCCCCCCCCCCCCTCTCATGCTTGCTTTGGCAGAGTCTCTTCCAAGATATCCAATGGCTCTTAGGATGCCCCTCCACAAACCCCCACCAGAACCGAGCCATATGCTTATCTAACCACTGGCATGAGGTAGCGGGAATCTTGGAAAAAGCCATCACATGAAATGGCAAAGCGGCCTCCACTGCCTTGAGAAGGGTCTCCTTAGCCGCCAGCGATAAGTGTCTCTACTTCCAACCCTGGATTCTCTATAAAAGTCTTTCCTCCAAGAATCTAAAGGTATCCGCCTTTGACCGGGCAACTAAGGACGGGAGACACAAGTATTTATCCTGAGTCCCAATCGCTCCCACCCCCAAAATCTCCGCCATCTCCTTTTTCTCCTCCGTTAGAAAATTCGCATTAAAGCAGACAACAGATTTTTCCAGGTTTACCTTATGCCCACTTAGTGCCTCATACTCTTCTAACACCCTCAAAAGATCATTGCAGCCTTGCACCGAAGCTTTGATAAAAAAAATAGGAGTCGTCAACGAAAAAAAGATGGGACACTCGTGGGGCCCTAGGGCACACACGAACACCCTCTATTTTCCGTCTTTCACTCGCCTGCCGCAGCAAGGCCGCAAATCCTTCTGTACACAAGATGAATAGCAGCAGAGACAATGGGTCCCCCTGTGGCAACCCCCTAGAGGACTGGAAAAACCCCGAGCGTTTCCCATTCATAAGGACAGAGAAACTCGAAGTAGAGACACATTCTCGGATCCAACTAATTCACACCGGGCTAAAACCCAACTTTTTTAAGATCGCAAGCAAGAACGGCCACTCAACCCTATCATAGGCCTTTTCCATATCAACCTTCAGAGCTAAGTAACCCTTCTTACCTGTCTTCTTAATTTTCAAATAATGCATTATTTCGTGGCCAATAAGCACATTATCGACTATCTGGCGATCGCGAATGAAGGCATCCTGACCAGCCATAATCTTTGATATGATCTTATAAACCACTTGGCACAGGCTAATCGGGCGCAGCTGGCGCATATTCTCCACTTATCCAATTTAGGGATCAACGTAAGCCACGTGTGGTTGAAGCTTCGTAAAATACGCCCATTCACAAAGAATGACCGTACAGCCTCAACCACTGATGACCCGACAATGTCCCAAAAGCTCTTAAAAAATTTGCCAGTGAACCCATCTGAACCTGGAGCTTGCGTAGATCCTATTGAAAAGACCGTACGATGAATCTCCTCCAGAGTCACTTCTGCCGTAAGGCTAGTGTTCATGTCATCAGTGACCCTGCGATCAATGGGTAACGCATTCACCTTGTCCCAAATACTAGTCTCGGCCGATCCCGACGTAAATAGATGTGAATAAAATCCGACAGCCAGGTTGGCTTTCGCATCTTCTTCCACCACCCACTCACCGTCCTCGGTCTGACATCTCTCCACAAAGTTTCGGCGCCGTCTTGTTCTTGTGACAGTATGAAAATAGAAGGAATTCTGATCTCCCACCTTCTACCATCGAACTTTGGACTTTTGGCTCCAATACTTTTCCTCCTCTGCCCATTGTCTCGTGAGATCTCTCTCCAAACTATTCACCCGGTCCCAATCAATCGGATATTCTTCCTTTATCGCGGTAATTTCCGACTCTAATGTTCGAATTTGCCGCGCAGAGTTTGAACTACCCTTCCGGCTCCAATCATGGAGCCGATGGCGCAATTTCTTTAGGCGGGTCCAAAGTTGGTACATCGGAGAGCCGTGAATCTGCTCTTGCCAAACCTCTTCCACCATCGGTTTCACCTCCTGATTATCTGCCCAACGGGCATCAAATCGAAAGAGGGATCTCGCTATTCTCGGGTGGGCCTTATCCGAAACAATGAGCGCACAATGGTCAGAACCTAAGTGCGTGCCATGGTTCACATCGCCTCCGGAAATTCTCCATCCATCGATCTGATACCAGCGCTCTATCCAGGAATTCCTTAATACACACATTTCCCATTCTCCGATTGGACCACGTAAAAGGATTCCCCCGAAATCCCAAGTCCTGGAGTCCCAGTCCATCAACGAACTCACGAAATAGTTGAAAATGAGCAGGAACCCACGGAACTCCCCCTATTTTTTGTTAGAGGAAAGGATACCATTAAAATCCCCTACCATCAAGTATGGTTCTCGTAATTCTGCACAGTAATTGCGTAAAGTATCAAACTGGGAAACACGCTCTTGAGCTCGACAACTCAAATAGACAAACACCACCACGACATTTATTCCATTAACTTCCAAACCGACGGAAATAATAAAAAAAAGACGAACTAGACAACACTGAGGCACCGCTCTCAGGGGACCACCCTACTGCTAACCCTCCTGAAGAATCAACAGCATCAACTAAATGGAAATCAGAAAAACCTAGACCTCGTAGTCTACGAGAGACCACTCTACAACGCGAATGAGTTTCAGAAAAGAAAACAACATCAAGATTATTGACACGAACTACCCCTAAGATCGTCTGGAATGTGATGGACGGCCCAATCCCACGCACATTCCAGGCTAACAACCTCATTTATCGACTTGGGGTCACTCTCGGCTGGCTGCCTCCATCGTATCATCCTGGTCTCCAATCTCTTCGCCACTGGAATCGTCCAAACACAGCTTCTTCACCAGTGTCGGGTCTTCTATGAGGTCCTCAACCATTGCTGCAGCTCGTTTCTTTTCTTCAACTTCCTCCGATCCGGCGCCGTCATTTGGAATGCCACCTGCTTCCCATTGCTACCACTCACCATTTCCTCTGCCGCGTCTACCTTCCTTTGGTGAATTTCCAGCCCCTCCTTCCCCACTTCCTTCTCGTCCAAATTCATATCTTCTCCTGGCAGCTTTGCACTTTGTCCTCCCGCTTCCACCTTCTTTCCTTTATCCTTCCCTGCAAGATGATCATTCCCCAGCTTAGGACCCATGTCCTTTCCTGTCTTTTGATCCCCAGCCATCCCCTGCATATCAACATCTTTCTTTCTCAAGGGAATTTTTATTTTGAGTGATTTTTTTGTCCCTCCACTCCCTATTTTTATGCCAGCTTCGCCTGGTCCCTCTTTATTATTCTTCTTATAGCGAGCTTCCCATGTTTCTTTTCTTCCCCCATTAGTGTCCACAATCATCTTCTCACCTCTACTGACCCCTTGCTTCTTTTGATTGGAGGATTTAACCCCCACCTCCCTCTTACCTTCCATCCCAGCTGCCGCCACCAATCCAGCTCCCTGCTTCCCATCTTTAGCGCTCGCCACGCCACCACTGACTCCCTTGCTGCCCCCTAACATCATTTTATCCACATGCCCTTTGTCCACATTGCCTTTGTCACGAGCGCCCTTAGTTTCCTGGCCTTTAGACCCAGCAGCCCCACCTCTCTTTCCTTCCCTTCCTGATCCCATACCGCCAGCATCCCCTTTCGACCCACCCAGAACCTTCTTCTCCTTATTACCAGGGCAAACCTCCGTTGGAAGCTCTAGGACAACCCCCCTCGATTGCTCCGCCCGCTCTTGTGTCGCCATATCTATTTGCGCCTCCTCCCCATTTCGTTTCTTGCCTTAAGTGATGGGGTTTATCCACACCGTCTTCTATAGAGGAGCTCCATGGATCGACACCAGCTTTTCGTTCAATCGGTGACCCGATTCCTTCGTAGTCAGCCCTGGGCCGTAGTATTCCTCCCTAGATGGTGGAGGGAACTCACAGTGTTGGCCAGTATGGCCGAACCTACCACAGTGGTAGCAATATAGGGGGAGATGCTCATACACCAAGGTGAACCAAAACTTCCCCACACTCGGATTTCTCGCAAACAGTTGAGATCGAAGAGGTTCCAGCACATTCAGATTCACCCTTGTCTTGACAAAGTGGCCTGGAACTCCCCGAATGCCAAAGAGGCCAGCATCCAGCACCGGACCAAGCTTTGCTTCAGCCATTCTCCTCCCAAACACAATCGTTCGACAATGTGAGGGGATGCCCCACATTTGAACCCAGAAAAGCGCCTTCGACAGTGATTCCACCACTTCTGGGGTAACTGGTTCCCACGCCTGGAGCTGCAGGATTCGTTCCTTCACCTGCCAGGGTGTCCGCTGCAGGACCCAATCCTTGTCTCGTTCATCATCAAACAAGAACTGCAGAAGGCCTAGCTTCTCTTCAATGACCGTCACGTTTCCGGAGCATCCCCATTCTCCTTGAACAATCTTCTGGAATGGTTTTTAGACTCGGCGGATTATCCATAGATAGTCTTCCAATTAGGCTAAGCTTAGCCCTTTTCATGCTATCCTCCACATCATCCAAGTCAAATTCCACGATCTGGTCAGCATCCATTGGCTCTCCTGACATGGTTTCGTTCTCCCCAATCACCTGAAAATGTTGAGAAAATATGTGAAACAGGGAAATGAAACACAGAACGCCGATGTGTGGAGTAAGCCAAAGAAGGTATAGCCGCATAATGACCATCTGAATCATGGTGCTATTACCTCGATCACCAGGTTTATCCAGCAATTCTGGTTTCGATGCTTTCCCCTCAATTTTCTGTAGAAGTTCAGTTGCAGGGTCAAGGCGTTGATTTGTGGTAATATATACCCACTTCTGTGCCAATCTCATCACCGCATCTGTAACCGACTCCTGATTCGAGATTATCCCTCTTTTCTTTTCCGAGATTTCATCCCAGGGGCGGATTTGGGTATATTTCCATAGCTTCCCTTGTTTTTCTGATAACTCCCAGTCATGAGCGAAAAGATCTCTCCCTGGGTATTCGACTTCCACACGAACTCCTTCTTCACATCCCTCTTTTCCGAGTGCAGCCACTTTGATTTCCTCCCCGCAATGAATCGGCCAACGAATCGATGCCGTGTTCCTCCTGATCTCTGCCCTAGAGATTCCAATGAGGATAATGGAAAGGAGGCGCATAAGGAAAAGATAGGGTTTTTCGAGGAGAGAGGACAGAGCATTCGGTTTTTTTTCTAAGTTTACACCCGAACGACATTTGCTATTCACTAAATGAAATCTTTCCATGCGAGATGGTAAAAATGATTTGGACATTAAAATAGATTAAATTTGCCGCCAACCAAATTGCTATTTGCCGCCAACAAAAAAAAAAGTATATATCTACATCTTTGGTTAAGGAGTTTCACAATCTACAACATATCCAACTTTCAGAAAACGTATTGAATCAGAACAAATCGACGCTCGCGGGAAAAGTCGCCGGAAATTTTTTGCCCGGCCAGGTTCCGGCCGCCGGAAGATTTCGGCCTACAGTCTGTGTTTGGAATTTTTTGGAAAAATTCGATTTTAGGAGTTGAATTTAGAGTTTAGGAGTTGAATTTAGCGTGTAAGACTTGAATTTAGAGTTTAAGTATTAAATTTAGAGTTTAGGAGTTGAATTTAGCGGTTAAGACTTGAAATTAGCGTTTAGGTTCACAGGAATATTGATGTGTTATATTGTAATTGTAGGAAAAATGTCAAAGTGATTACCGGCCGATCATGATTACACACAGGAATTTGAGAATGGGATCCATTATGCAAGTGTGAAGTTAGCTGAGTTAGCTGTAAAAGCAATCGCTCATGAGTGTGGGTTCTTTATTGCTAGAGAAGCATGGAAACCGAATATTGCTGGACTACATCCTGTTACTGCCCTCTGTATGTATTGCGACAGAAACAGTAGGATCGTTAAGTCTTATAAACCAGACCATACGAAGGAGACGCCTGGGATATTAGTTCGAACGGTATTGGATGCCAGTTTCAGATATGTATTAAGGAAGTATGGCAAGAGAATGGTCCAAACACATGGGTCATAGTGGGAGTGAAAAGTCGTGTAACCGGAGCTAATAGAGGGTTTCACAACCATGAAAAGGTGTTGTATCCAGAACATCAACGACACAACAAACAGTTTAGTGAGGCTGAAAAAGAGAGGTTAAGATTAATGAGGAAGGCGGGGGTGAGACCAAATCAGCATAAGATGACACTCAATACTGAAGGGGGTGTGCATCATGATATCAAACAGATGTACAACAGAAATTACAAGACAAGATTGGATGAGATGGGTGAATGGATGTGAAACAGTTTGCGCTTCACGGAGCTGAACAACATGGGTACCATATCTGTTTGCAAAAGGAGTCTAATAATGTGCTCACTAATCTGTTTTTTGCGCACCCGACGTCCATTTAGATGTTGCATGCATGGCCGTACGTCATCCTCATTGACTCGGCTTACAAGACGAACAGGTACGGCTGGCCATGGGTTGAGATTATTGGGGTTACTCCAGTCAAGAAGAATTTCAACATTGCATGTGCAATTATTAAGCAGGAAACAAAGGAAACATATGAGTGGCTGCTGCGATGTATCAAAGGGTTGCTAGGTGATACGGTTCTGAATGTCATTGTGACAGACAAAGAAGGTGGTATGCTTGCTTCTGTTCCTGTGGTCTTCCCTCTCCCACATACTGTCCACCTACTATGTTTATGGCACGTCAACAACTGTGTGAAGCAAAAGTTTGAGCAATTACTGGGTGGAATTGCAAAAAGAGAGGTAGCACAAGCGGTATGGAAGAAATATTTTGACAAAGCTGCATGGAGTTGGACTTAGGAGGGTTTTCTTCAAAAGATTAATGAGTTTGAGAGGGTCTGGACAGAGAAGAACATAAAAATGAATTTGTAGATAATTAGAAGGGGTCAAGCTGTCAAGAGCTCGACGGTAGAATGCCAACCTCACACTGGGATCAGCCACAGAACCAGGTGTCGGCTGCCCAATCCATCGTGAAGTCCAAGCCTCATCAGGTCCAACAACGGGTGGCTCAAAGTGAGATGGCCTGAAACCCGGAAAGTACTCGTAGATCCAACACTGCAGATGTGTGAGACAACCAGCCACCCCCTGGAACCAGCACCAGACGCCTGACCAAGGTATCTGTACAACCAAGCAAGTGTACCTGACGCCAAAATGTACTGATCTACCTCCTCCAACTCATCCAAAAATAGGTTCACCACCGGCCGAACCCTGTCTCTACTCTTGTCCACAAACAAAGTGGACCCCAACAGCACAACAAGTACGACTGCGCCTCTGTCACATGTGTCCCCTTCACCTGCAAGTATCTGGAAGCCAACTCCGCAAGAAAACCACCCTTCTCGTTCCACTTACCCCTATTACCATATCGAGGGGCCTCCGAACGACCACTCAACTGCTCCGAGTTCATCCCAAGAAGCGCACACAAACCCACCTCCGGATGGTCAAGCTGCGCAGAAGTCCTACTCATCGGTCGTCCCTCAACAGGAATCTGCAGTAAGTACTGAACATCGTGGAGGAAGATCGTCATCTCTCCAAAAGTCAAGTGGAAGGTGTTCGTGTCTGGCTGCCACCTCTCCACAAAAGCTGAGATCAAAGCCTCGTCAAGCGCTATCTTGCGGAATATAGAGTAGATCAAGTGCTGGAGACCTGACTGCTGAACCAGATCCTCCGCCTCAACATGACTAAACAAGTAGCTACCCAGATACTCAACCGCCGATGTACCGCTGTAGCAACTGATGACCCCTCGATCTCCAACCCCCGTCCAAAGCGCATAGGCAGCGTGGCCACGGAAGCTCCTAATGAGGCTAAGATCCGTAGGTCCACCAGGACACTCACCAACAAGCTCCCACAGTGGAGGACCACTCGAACGTCCTCCCCTACTCCGTCCAGTCCCCGAGCTCTCTGTCTCCTCACGAGCAGGTGGTATGAACCACCCAGCTCGGTCCCTATACATAGCAGGACGTGATGTTGCCGTACAAGACGACACTCGTCCATGTCCACGCGTAGGTGGAGGGACCTGGATATCCTCATCAGTATCGTCCTCATCAAACTCAGCCGAGACCACTCTTGATGCAGCACCATGGTTCCTCCCATGGGAACCAGACGCCCGTGATGCCGAACGAGCAACTACAGTAGGAGTGTCGTCTAATGTACTGAATATAAACATTAATGTACTGAATATAAACATTAATTGTTAATCAATTATTAATTAATTAATTTCTATTAACTAATGTACTGAATATTAACATTAATTGTTAAATCAATTATTAATTAATTAATTTCTATTAACTAATGTACTGAATATTAACATTAATTGTTAAATCAATTATTAATTAATTAATTTTCTATTAACTAATCTAAGTAATTAAACATTCATACACCTATTATCAAAAAGAAACATTCATACACCAACTTAAATAAATATTAACACTAATTGTTCATTTCTATTAACTAATTAAGTAATTTTTTATTGACTAATTAATTAACATATTAAATTAAATGCAAAAACCGGCCGGGCCGAAAAAAATCTGCGGCCGGTCCGAACCGATTTTTTTTTTTGGCCGGTACAACGCCGGGCTGGAAACATTTTGAGCCCGGTGTGCCGCCGGGCCAAAAAAATTTTGCGGCAAATACGCCGCCCAGCCGAAAACATTTTGCGGCCGGTGCAACGCTCAGCCGAAAATCTCTTTCGGCCCGACGTCGCCCCGGCCGTAAAATTTTTTCGACCGGCCGACGAACACGTCTCCAGAAAAAATTTGGCCGGCGTGTTCGGCGACTGGCCGAAAAAAATTTGCGGTCGCGGCGCCGCCGGTTCGAAAGAAATTTTCGGCTGGCTTCACGCCTGGCCGAAAAATACTTTCGGCTCGGCGGTGTTTCGGCCGTAATATTTTTTCGGCCCGCCGTGTTTTTCGCCGGAAAACTGGAAAACTTTCCGAAAAAAGTAAACTTACTTGTTTTCAGACGATTGAGGGCGATGGGAGGTTGGCTGGCGACGGAGGCACTGGGCTCGTGGACAGAAGTTTTTTGTTGGAATGAGTCAAATGTTAATGGTATCCGAATTTATAGAATGAAAGGAAGGGGAAATTCAAAATTTAAATTCAAATTTTTTTTTAGTTGGCGGCAAATAGTAATTTGGTTGGCGGCAAATAGCTGTTCACCTAAGTTAACGGTAACTTTGAGAGTTGACTGCCACATCTGCCAAAGTTAAAGGAGTTAGACGAAGAGTGACCAAACGTGAACGGTTTAAGTAAACTGAAGTACCATCAATGGATTTCAATATTTCGAGTGACCAAACATAAACATTTTTTGTAATCTTAGTGACTAAACATGCAATTAACCCTATATAGTGATTCAGTTTTAGGGGCATTGCTATTCGTCGCCCTAAAATTCCTTATGTCGCCCTAATTAAATTAAAATTACTCTAATGCCCTTAATTTATTTATTTCTCTTTCAAACACTTAAATCCAAAACAAACTCATAGGGGTGGTAAACGGTTTACCGTTTTACCGAACCGGTAAACCGTTTACCGGCGGTATCGGCAGACGAGCGAGAAGTTGGGGGAGTCGGTTTACCGGACACGGTATCGGTAAATAGCGACGGTAAATCGGTATTACCGATACCGAATCCCCCCTCCCTACTCCCTAGTGCTGCGCTGCGTTTTGTTGCTTTACCCCCAAAAATATAACATATTACATACATGAATGTAAGTATAGGCCTCAAAAATATTGTAAATAAGAGTTAATAATAAATTATTTCATTAAGCGAATAATAAGTTCCCAACGTGCAAAGTTGGCTACCTGAAACTATAAAAGAGACAAATAATTATTAGATTTGCGTCTATATAATATATGTATAAGAAGCATTTATATTTGTATCTAAAGATTATTAAATTTGTCTATAATGACATAGCTATAAGAAACATTTGTATTTATCTCTAAATACTATGAGATTTGCCTATAGAGACAAATAATTTCACCTACTGAGTCAAATAATATACTTGTTCCTAACGTTTAGGCATTTAATTATAGAGACCAATACAATAATTGTCTCTAATTATTTGCCTCTATAGACCGGTTTTCTTGTAGTGGGTTCTACGTAGTGTTTTGGGTGGTCGGAGAAAAATGGGGGATTAGATGGTCGTTGTTGAAGATGAGATTGATCGAAGCTTGCCCGTGTTGCTCGTTTTCTTCCGAGATTTCATATTACCGCGTGGAATTACAGCACCCGCTGAAGCCGTCAGACGTGTTTTTGCTCAAGCTCTGCTGCTTTAACCGTGTATGGCTTCTTCATGGTGAGCGAGTTCGGGCTAAAGATAGTGTATTTTATAATAGGTTGTGTTTATTTTTACTAATTTTTCGTACGACTGATAACTAATTTTGTAATTGAAATAAATGTTATTAAATAATTAATATGCTAAATCATATAGACAAAGTAAGTGGAATGCTGAGGTGGAAAAATAAATATTTTTTTCATTTTCACGCCATCTAGTTAACGGTCATACTTTATAGTTGACTGTAACGTAGTACTAATGTAACTAACAGTAACGGTCGGTGGCTAATGGTGAAATAATTCGTATAGTTAGTGACGAATAGGAAAGAAAGTTAATACGGGTGACAAACTTGAAAGATATATATAGTTTGAGTGACCAAATGTATGATTTAGCCCTTATAATTCTTAAAAAATAATGGACATTTTTGGGAATCATTAATAGCAAAATCTTTAAATAAAAAAATGTATGGAATAATTAGTAACCAAATGTGTAATTTAGCCCTTATAATTCTTAAAAAATAATGGACATTTTTTGGAATCATTAATAGCAAAATATTTAAATAAAAAAAGATGTATTGAATAAATAGTGAGAGCTTTAGCAGACCGGATCAGGCATTTCCCTCACATTTTGTGGGCCGCCATAACTCACCCAAGAAGCCTAGCGTACGCCGCGGGTCGGGTGAAATTGGTGCATAATTAAAAGCACTCAAGTCCCTCAGTCGTCACTCGTCACTCACACAAGAAATAGAAACACTAGTCAAGAACTACCATGGCGTTTCTTGGGAAAGGGCGGAGAGTTGTGATTCCAGCCGTTAGAACCTGGATGACTGCAAGGAGCCCTACTCCAGGGAAGACAGTCACGACTTACAACGTTCCGCCATGGGGACGTTTCAACATCAAGGAAATCAACCCAGTGACAACCACGTTTAATGTTATAAACGTCGGGTCTGCAAACATTACACTAAAGTCGTACATCAAGCAGCGGCGTAAACAGATAGAAGTCATGGAAGCAAGGGCAAGGATTTGGAACGACGACAAGGAGTTGAATGAAGATCCCGATGATCAATCCAAGCTCGTCCAAGTGGTGGAGAAATTGGAGAAGTAGCTCGATCGTAATCACTACGCGGTGGCAGCTCTAACAACTGTTAGTAACGGAACAACAAAAAGGAACGAGGTTACCGAATCTGGAGCTTAGTTGCGAACTAGGTCACTTTCTTTAAGACGTTCGCGAAACTTCCTTTGTTGTGCACGACAGACTAACAACCGGTTGTCTCCGGGATAAAACAAATCCTCTTGTGCTCGACGATTTTGTGCAAAAATTGGAGATTTGTGAACTCTCTCTCTCTCTCTCTCTCTCCCCCCCCCCCCTCTCTCTCTCTCTCTCTCTCTCGTGTTTCAACTCGTTTGTGGTGTTTTTAGCGGAGCTGTAGAGACGGCTATTTATAGTAGCCAAACCCCTAAGAATATACCCTCTTACTTGAGGGATAATTCGGTTTTAATTAGCAAGATAATTACTTCCTTAATTAAAATGTGTATGTAAGATAATTTTTGGCCGAATTATCTCTCAAATATTCATGGACATTAATTATCTTCGTATTTGTTAAGGATACAGGATAATTAAGTCATAACTAATTAATTATTTTGGAATTTCTCCAAAAAAATTATTAGTCTCAATCAAGACCCACCCGCTCGTCCGCTCGACCGCCCGCTCGACCGACATTTCGGACGGACGGCGCACGTGTGTGTGTGGTGGTCCGTTAGATCCTCCATCTCCCACAAAAGTGGATCACCCCACATGGATTGCCACTAAGAGAGAGGAATTTATCTTTATAAACACTTCACAAGTGTAAAACTACCAATGTGATAGTTTTTCTTTTTGAGACTTATAGTTTCAAAGTTATTCACATTTCCATCACAGTTCCAACAGCAACTACAGTCGCTATAGCCACAATAATAGTCATCTACGGGTCCAAGTGAGCGGAAAGAATTCTTTGATTCGATTTTCTTGTTTCGTTTTCTTCTTTATTTTAGTGGAAGAGTGAGAGTATGCCTGGAAAGACATGTGTAGGATTCTACTACTTATGAGCTGAGAAGGAGCGGTAATACGTATTGTATTCTTTTTTTTTTTTTTTTCATTTTCCCGGAAAACTTTGTTGGATATTTTTTTCTCGAGAAAATTCTATTGTGCCCAAGAAATAAATAAAGATTTGAGTCATTGCTGACGCCGTTTAACTTTCTGTCCATGTTCTTCAATCTGTACTATTATTGTACCACCGAATCGAGTCGGGGTTTTCCTGCTAATTTCCATCGCTCTCCTCCAACGCCTTGTCTCTCTCTTTCCATCACATTTCCAACAGCAACCATGGTCACAATAGCCACAGCAGTAGTCATCTACCGGTCCAAGTGATCGGAAAGAATTCTTTGTATTCAATTTTCCAGTACCAAACGAATGTCCCATGCACTAAAGAACAAGAAGAAGAAAAGGAAAGGCACTAATTAATGAGCAGTGTAACAATAATACACTACTTGATTGCTGCTGCAGCAGCAGCCACTAAATACCAAAAGTGAAGAAACAAAAGAATTAATACTGAATTACATGTGTAAGAAATAAAGTTTATGTATAGAAAAACGGTTCTAAGGAACCAATTTTAATTAAGTTAATATATGATCAGTGCCCCACTCCAGGACTGGGACCATCGTTCGCAGCATCGGTGAAGCTGTTCCCCACGCCCGGGCTGGGCCCGGATTGCTTCACCGCTCCAAGGGCCAACCCGTCCCAGAAAGCCGCATCGGCCCACCAGCTCCCGCCACTCTGCGCATCGGTACACTGCTTCAATATATTGAACGGCCGAGCTTCCACTCCGCAACCAAGCATCTGAATCATAACCGCAGCGGCGATGATCAGAACGCTCAGAATCCGAACGAATCCTGCTCTGGCCATTGGTGGGTTTTGTTGGAATCTAGGAACGGGAATGGAAATGGAACAATATGTTTCTGTCCTCTGTGTGTTTATGGGAAGGTGAGGAGGAATTAATTTTGCACGTCAAGTGTTTGAGGAAATGCCTGTGAGAGACAGATATCTGAGGACTTGTGGTTCGGGGTATATATATATAGTGTCAAAGCGGAGAACAGAAAGCTGACGTTGTTGAATGTTCAAATGGAAAATTGTGCTTGTTTCCAAAGGGGAAAGGAAGCAGCGGCGATGGTTCGGAAGCTGGAAATCGGTCCATGAGAGCAATTTAGTCAGTTGGTTGGTCCAACATGATAACTCACTCCGCCATTGGATTTGTGGGAAGAGTACTAAATAATTCCCGGGTTTTCAACAGCCATCTCAACGAGCCCAATTTCAAAATTTTGGATGGGAGGTTGGACTTGTGTGAATTGTGATTATTCCTCAAGTTGGAATTTGAGTCAGTGTCATATGCCAATGCAGCCATGCATGTACGGACTCCTAGTTGGGCGCCCTTCCTTTCACGTTTGCACGAATGTGTAGATTCATTCCATAATTTTAGGCATGGTCAAGAAATGACTATCAAGCCAGGGGACAGGCAAGGGTGGCTGATCAGTTCATATTTATTTCACGTTTACATGATCCTAGTCAATTTAGGTTGTAGAGATGCACGACTACATGGACCATGTCGTTCAAACCGAATCTGATATCAGTTTTCGTAATCGAATAGCTCTAATAGTATAATATTGTCCGCTTTGTGTCAATCCTGCGAATATTTGCTTTTGGACTCCTTGCAAAAAAGCATCATACTAATTGAGTCCGATGATATTTTCCCCATTTATTACCTATACTTGGATAGTACCCTAACATCAACCTTCTCTTTTTCTTGGTTACTGCTCCTTTATATCTGGTTCGGTGGTGGGTGGGTAGTGAAGAATAGAGGAAGAAGGAAGGATGGGGATGTTATCCAAATCTTTTTCAGTTTTTTTTTTATATTATCCAAACTATTAAAATGTTAAGAATTAGTAAAGGTTAACTTCTAGTTGGCAATTTTGTAGTAATATTTACTTGCAACATAATACTAAATTGGAAGAGACACATGAATGTCAACATTCCAAATTTTAGTATTTTAATTAAAAAAAGAGTTACAAAATTACTAACGATAACGTAAGAATGATCAAATATTTTAATGCATTACAAAAGATTTGGCTAATTAATATCATTTTAATAGGTTTGGATAATATAAAAAAATCTGAAAAAGGTTTGGATAAAAAATAGTCATTACCCAAAAAAATTAGGTGTTGCAGATAGATATGGGTTAGCCAAAATCAAATAGGAAAAAAAAAAACAGCAGCCTGTTACCAAAGATTAAAAAAGAACTTTCAACACAAATTAGCATTCCTCTTGGGCTTCGGTTTTTGCAATATATTAATTAGGATGAAATCGTGCTTTTGTTGTAAGTAGGGATTTTGGGCACTCGGATTATTGTAACAAGATAGAGAATTTGATAGAATTGAGTGATTTAGAATTGGAAATTAAAGCTCTTGGCAGAGATTAAGAAAAGAGAGATTATTCATACAATACTGTGATTAGGTTTTTCACTGATATTTCTAACGATAGAAGTAAAGTACATTATAGAGACTATGAACAAAAACCCTAATCAACTAAACTAACAAATTATTAAACTACCCCTTAACACTAATCGTGCCCTCAACAGCTTTGCCACGAGCTGATTGACGGTTGAGATTTAATTCTTTTTAGGGTTTTCTTTATGATGATGTCTTTATAATTTTTTGAAATTTTAATTATTTATTTTTATAAAATATGAATTTTTATTGATAATTTTATATTTTATAAAATTATATATATATAATTAACCAAAATATTTCTTGTATAAAATTGAGCTAGAAAGAAGTAAAGGGAATACAAAATGGAACTTAGTTTAAAATTTTATGTCTTTAAATCTTAGGGAGGAAAATGATGGTCTACTAATTTTTTTTTAACTATACTGAATATTGAGCTAGAAAATTAGTGATTCATGGATCAATTCTTATAATTTATATAGACTCGTTAGTAATTCATTTATGGAACCATTCATATTTTTAATTTAGAATGCATACAAATAGTATGCTAATTAGGATTAGATGAAGGGATAAAGGAGGAAATAAAGAAAGGGAGATGGAAGGCAACTGAAAAAGGAATTGAAGAGATATATAGTATGAAAAATTAGTATGGTAATTAATAAGCTTTTCATGTTGTGTTTTCCATAATGATTTTGTTTTTGGAAAATAACATTAAGCCAATAAACCACTTAGATCGAAGCGATGTTTGTCATTCACATTCAATTGCAAACAACCAGATGATCCATGAATGACTGCTCAAACGAGGCCATAGGGCAGGGTATACACGCGCGGGTCCTCGCTCATAGCTCGATCCTTGCACTACAGTAAATACGGGTTGGTCTCTACCACCCGCCGGACCTCATCCCAAAATGGCACCACCAGTCATGTCACTGTCGCGATCATCGGCCCACTCTCGACTCGTGAAAGAGCATCCACTGCTTTATTCGTCGGCCCGGCTTTGTAGTTGAGCTCATAGTCATAACCGAGTAGCTTCACAACCCATTTGTGTTGATATGGAATGGAGACCTTCTGGTTGAATAGATACCAGAGACTCTAAGGATCCGTATAAATATGGAACTTCAGCCCCAACATGTATGGCCTCCATGTTTGTACTGCAGTGGTAATCGCCAGCATTTTTTCTGGTAAGTCGACCACGCTTCCTTTGACGGGGCTTATGTACAGCTCATGAATTCTATGGGGTGCCCTCCTTGGGACAGTATTGTGACGATCCCCTTGCCCGAAGCGTCAGTCTCGATATCGAAGGCCACGAAAAGTCAGGTAGTACCAGCGTCGGGGTCGTCGTCATCGCTACCTTCAAGGCGCGAAGGCCTCATTAACCTTTGGGTTCCAGCCGAACCCTCCCTTATTCAACAGCTCTATCAATGGTCTCGTGATAGAGCTGTAACCCTGCACAAACTTTCGGTAGTACCCGGTCAAGTCCAAGAAGCCTCTCAACTCCGTCACAGTCTTCGAGACTGGCCAGTCTACCATCGCCCGTATCTTCCCTAGGTCAACTCGAACATCCTCCCAGGAAATGACATGGCCCAGATAGTCCACCTTCTGCACTCCAAATGCATATTTCGAAGCCTTAACAAAGAACTGGTTCTCCTGTAGGATCTCGAACACCTGCTGTAAGTGTTGCAAATGCTCCTCCCAAGATGACCTATAAACCAAAATATCATTAAAAAAACAGCACACACCTGCACATAAGAGGCCAAAAAATATCATTCATAGCATTCTGGATGGTAGACGGGGCATTGCAGAGACCGAACGGAACCACCAGATACTCTAGTGCCCGCTATGCGTGTGAAAAGCTGTCTTGTGGATATCCTTCTCATACATCCTAATCTGGTGATATCCCGCTCTTAGGTCCAACTTAGTGAAATACCTGGCGCCCTGCAACCCGTCTAGCATATCATCGACTGTCGGGATCGGAAATTGATCCTTGACGGAGGCCTCATTCAGCGCCCTATAGTCCGTATAGAACTGCCAAGTCCCGTCCTTCTTCTTAACCAACAATACTGGCGAAGAAATTGGACTCGAGCTCGGTCGTATTAACACAGACAGCAGCATCTCCTCCGCCTGTCGTTCGATCTCCTCTTTCTGAGATTGCGCATACCGATAGGATCTCACATTGACCACGTCGATCCCTGCCTTCAGCTTGATCCGATCGTCCACCTAGCGGTTGGGTGGCAGCCGCTCCAGGTTGCAAACAACCCTGAATATCTCTCCAAGAGAGCCTGCGGGTCTGGCGCCTCCTCCTGTTGTTCGGCGCTCTCCATCGGCCGACATAGGACGACCGTCTCCACCTCCTCGATCACCTGCAGCTCCTCCCAACTGACTGGGCTTGCGGTCGTGGCCAGTCCGTGTAGCTCTCAGTCCTTATCCTGCCATTTGAACCGCATCACCATCTTGACCCAGTCACACATAAATGGTCCCAAACTCCGCAGCTAGGACACTCCCAATATCACATCAAACCCCTGCATTGGAAGAACATAAAAATATGTCATTATCTGAAGCTCCTGAATCCACAAAGTGGCTGCCCGAAAAAACTGGTCACACCGTAGAGTTGTTCCATTCACAGTTTTTAACAAAAATGGCTTGATCGGCTCCAACTGCTACTCCAGTCTCGCTGCCAGCTCCTCTCCCATGAAGTTGAGAGACACGTCGCTGTCTACCAAGGTGATTTCGGTGGATAATTGAGATAGGTTAAGAGAAGAAATTAGGTTAGGAATTGGAATTGGAATAGAATTTGGGGAAGAACTAGAGAAAGATTGAGGAAGAGAGAGATATAGGGATTTCAATGTATTTCTGCTTAATCTCCAAAATAAGATGGTTCTCCTTTAAATAGGAGTTACATAAAATAAACCCGACCCACCCGGTTACATAATAGGGTCGAGCCCTCCCCTCTAGGAACACGGCCAACCCGTGTTTCCTACACCCCACCTAACCGACATTCGTCACTATCCTGGATGGCTTAGAGAGAGCTCGACGGGAGAGAGGGCTAGGGTCTGTCTAGGCTGTATGCCAGAGTTGGCTCTTCACTTGGATAGCATGTTTGAGGGAGGAAGGGGAGAGGGCTTTGTTGGCATCACTAAACACACCATCATTACGATTATTCCAAATAGTCCAAAGTGCAATGTTGAAAGTCGTTCTCTGTTTAGTTATTGCTCTACATTAGAAGTCCAGAGGGCTTTGTAGTCATTGCTCTAAATTTGCAGTAAGGAAGCCGACAAGCTGGCTTCTCGGAACTTCCCTAGCCAAGAAAACTAGAGGTTGGACAGTCCCTCATAAGGTGAAGCTCCTTCTAGAGGATGTTGCCGCACTTGTAGCATAATGGATTAGGAGTTATTTGCTTGTCGAACCTCCTATGGTTGGTATAAATCTGACACAACAAGAGGAGCCAGATGAAGTGGCGCAAGTTCTGGAGCCCTGCATTTTCCATATCTGTTGGTAGACCGAGCTTGTAGTGAAGCAACCATTTGATGATGGTTGCCAAA